CATTCAGTTTATGAGTGGGTTCCAACATCTTCGAAAAAAGTCGCTTGCAATGGACAGTTCTACGTTCGTAAAGAGTCGTCAAGTTAGCTTTAAGCAAACATTCAGCATAGATAGTTCCAGGGAAAATAATTTTTAACGCCCTTTTTTAGGGTGTGTATATATACATATATATACACACCCTAACCTTAAACCTAAACCTAACCCCTAACCTATATTGGTGCGCGAGACATGGAACGATAACACAAAATTCGACGTATAAAACAGGCCGTAGTAAGCTGAAAACCTTAATCGCCCACCAAGAATGAATTCTTCACGCACCTATAAAGCATTAATTGTTTGCCCATAATATTACGCGGGAAAATGCACTAATTACATCAAGAGTACACCGAGACCTACACTCACCCTATAACCATTTGACAGCACTCGCCCTTTTTGAGTAAAGCTTGAGGGAACGATATACGTCTCTCGAGCATCACTCTCTTGTATATACTGACACGAACATTGATTGATAGGTGGCTAAACCTTTTGAATAATGTTCAAACAAATAGCACGAGTGAACGGGCATGAAATTATACTTACTGTGAGAGCTATGTCGAGCAGCAATTCCGAAACAGTTCGACCGTTAATGCCGGTTGGGTTTCGTACTAGATGTAGTCTACTGGATATGCAACAGGTACATTCCAGTTGGATGTACTCAGACAAGTCGCACTCAAGTCTGCAGCTCTGTGAATACAAATCCAGAAAGCAGTGAGTGGAATGTTAGCCTCATACTTCACTCGCACTTCAATTCCACTTGAGTCGAGTGTCCCTCACTTGAAAGTACTGAAGGGTGAGTGTGAGTGAGCTTCGTCAGTGAGTATCGTTCCTGGATGGCAATATTCTATGCTGAGTGTTTTGCAAACGTTTATGGCAAATTTCAGAATATTCTTGAAAAGTTCGCCAAAACTGTACAATCTCTAGTAATTTTGTTATCGTTTTTAGCATATCCCACTGTAAAGAACGGTAGAGTGCGTGACCTCCACACGAGACATGGATTGACATTTTTGGGAACTCAATCCGATCGCATCTTTATTCATTATACGATTTATTATTAGCATGACAAAATTACTGGATGCTGATTGGTTGAGAGGAGTACAATTATTTCATTAATTGTACTGCAGTACAATTAATGGTTTTCCCAAAACAATCAAAATGGCGGAAAGGTATTTTAAACACAAGCGTGTAATGAAATTTCCCTAGAGGAACTAGATGAAAAGACGAACAAAAGCGCCAAATTTTGCTTTAATACAAGAACTAAATGAAAATACGGACAAAAGCACCAAAGTTGGGTTGAAAATCTGGCAGGACTGGGATTTGGCGGGAGAATATATGATGTTAACATTGAGAAGTATCCAATTTTGTCATTCTAATAATAAACAAGTACGGCGGCTCGTCCAATTTTGGCAAAATTTCCAAACATCACTCGTACTATTAATTTTTATTGTACTCGCCATCGCATGATTACCTATACTAATTGGAACGATTTATTGCACCATGATTAAATTGACAGATATTGAACAATTATTATTACTATCTACAGTATTTCCATAATATTACCGTAAACTACAATTACATAATTAAGCTCACAATCGTAGTTAAAAGGGGTTAGGGTGTGAAGGTTAGAGGTTATGGGTTAGAGGTTAGGATTAGAGTTTGGATTAGGATTAATGTTTGGATTAATCGTAGACCCATTACAACCCAATACTTCATTGCATACAATGGCATTACAACGCCAATAAATTATTGGTTATGAAGTTGTTGATTTATATTATATCCGCTCGTATCCGTGCTGATTAATCTTTAATGGCACACCTGTGCGATTAATGTTTAATCGGCACGGGTTTTAACCAATCAGAATCAAGTAAATTGACCAAAATGATATTAGTAATTAATCGTCCGGTGAGATGTTTTAGCAATGAGGTAAATAAGTCATTAATCGTCCCTCGCGAAACAAAGGATTTCGATGTAGCTATGATATTATCTAACTAAGTATTCTAGAAAACAAATTTTATTACATTTGAAAAACGAAATGTTGTATAGAGTAATAAAGAGAATAGTTTTTTCAACACGTATGTCAACCGAAAATTGGTATAACTAATTTTGGCGGCATTTTGCATTATCTTGTATTTTATCACATGTGTTGAAAATTACCACAAACTCATGCACAAAACAGTTTTTAATCCAGTTCGGCCCTTTAATCCAATCCGGTTCCGTGTTGACAAAAACGGCCTTGCTTAAGCTCGCTATTATCAACCTAAATTCAACTGCCGATGTCCGAATCAACCAAGTTTCCTATTATACAAATAATGAATGTTTATGAGTGCAATGGTAAGAATATTTTCATGAGGTGAAAGATAGAATGTTCCATTCAACGAGGCGACAGCCGAGTTGAATGAAACATTCCATCTTTCACCGAATGAAAATATTCTTACCATTGCACGAAAAAACATTCATTATTTGTTTTATATAATACCAAAATAGACTAATAGATTCGTATCAGAAGCATGTTGAGGGATGCGATTTATCGAAAACCCAAAGAGTGCAATTGTACTATACGTTTTATTCCATTGCACTCGCAGAGAGTGCAATGGGACGTATTCCATTGCACTCTTGGGAAATGGAATTTTCTATTCAATATCACGTGACCATAAACAGTCAATTAAACGATCAGAATTCAATAAGGTATTATATAATACAAAATAATGTAGTCCTCGAGTTGCATATCAGAGACAACCAAAACATTTCTTTGTAGTATTACAGGTCCAATGTGTTTACTTCTTGCTTAGCTTGCTTCCTGGCACATTTCTGACCACGAGTCTTCCTTTCTGGTTACGATTACTGAAGTTGTTGTTTCTTGTACACATGTAGTAATATTCTCCCGGTGCAAACCTCAATAGCATGCCACGATACGATGCCGGAGCATTGTTTAACAAAACATTAAGCGCTGTTTTCTTTGGTGAAGCCCTACAGAGCGACATGCTGTTGTAGTAGCCAGAGGAAGCCATACTTAGAATCAGATCTTGTTTAGTCTTTGTTTCATCATCACTTGACCAAACGATTTCAGCGTTAGTGAACATTGTTAATGTTTTTTCTGAGGTTACAGGATAGTTCACGGAAGGGTCTGCCATTTCCACCATGTTGTTTCGATCTGTACCTGCATAAAAAATATCGAGTCAGTATATTGTAAAAGTTATAATACAGTTCCAGTTGGACAGTAACTTTATTTACAAGTTCGTTTGTTGTTGTTGTTGTTGTTGTTGTCGTTGTCGTTGTCGTTGTTGTCGTTGTCGTTGTCGTTGTCGTTGTCGTTGTTGTTGTTGTTGTACTTTTTTGGATAATATTCATTCCTTATTTATTTTTTTGCACTGGCGATCTTTTTGCAACATTGGAGTTTATCAGAATGCGGAATCATCCATGATTTCTGACGTCTTACGTATACCAGGTTCGAATAAGCCTTTGCATGAAAAAATTGATTTAAATGAAATAATTCAAAATAGAAAAACAAAACTACAAAAACAGAGTTGAATTTGTAGTAATTTACAAGTATAATGTTTCAAAAACTGTCTATTTTTTCAGCAGTTACAATACATCATTCAGTTAAACATACCTGCAGTTCCTTGCCCGGCATAATTCTTAGGGTTTGTATTTGATCCTTTGAAAGAAGAAGATGGTCATTTTGAGATCTTTTGTCTACTATTATGGGTAATATAAAATTATGAGTGTTGTAAAAAATGCACAGGAAGCAAATCCGACATGTAAATACGTGTAGATAATTACGCAAGCAAAAAAAGGTATGCATGGCCCAAGTTATACTTAGCAGAAATTGTTACCTCCATTCAATAAGGGTAATCATAGTAAAAGTAGAAGATTCGTCATTTGCGTGGGGCGCACGTCAGATTTTCGGAAGCTGCCTACTTTCTGGCTTAGTACGTGATTGTGATTGCAAAGTATGCAATGGTGTAATCGGTAGAGAGTCAAGCTGATGAAGATGACTACAAAATGCTCTTCACTATTTCAAGCACGAAACGCAGACGCAATTATTTTATTTCTTACTTCATAAAG